CGCTATTAGCACTTAGTGTCAAGTATAAATTGTGCAACGCCAGCGCCATCAGGTTATCAGAGAGAGTTTTTAAGTGGGGAAGTCGCCGTTAGTAGCGCATAAGTCGAATAGGCATCTTTACACTAATTTTTAGTTTTTAGCAATCTTGTTCGAGCCTCAACCCCCGACAAACCGGCATGAAACTTAAACTCAACTCTTGATCGAGAATCCATAACGGCCGATTCAAATGTGCAGTGATCCTATCTGTCAAAACCATAGAACACAATAGTTGGGTAAAGAAGAATTGCATCACACCATCGACTGGAAATAGGGTTGACTACCCCATTTCCAGCCTATTAAGCACAACCCGCACTTTGTCTTTCTTAATCTAGCGCAGGTTAGCACCAAACGAAGTGTTATTATTACTGATGGCTTCCACATTTATTTACCTTTCCGTACGTACTGTAAGATTTGGTAAAGAGAAACCAATCGTTGAGATATTGTCAAAAGTCTAACACTGCTTCTTGACGCCAAACTCGGCCTACGGATTCTAGACTCGGCCTAACGCATTGAAACGCCAATGAAATCACTTCGGTCTATCGGATGAAGATAAAGGTTGATTCGGTTGGAGCGCTTCTTTTGTTTTTGGGAATAATGGGTGCAAACCTTCATATCACGCATTCTCATTGACTTTGTTCGGTAGCTTATTAGCTAAAGTATCGTACCAAACGCATAATTGACTTGTTAACTCTGAAATCATGGATTTATTTGAAGTTTTCTGCTCGCTAGGCCCAAAATGGGCGATTAGGCCGAAGTAGTTATCTACCCTACTCTCGCAACGTGGGGCTTTAGGTAGTGATGAAAACGTCGCTAGAACTTTTCCACAGCCGCAGTCAGTTTATGAGCAAAAGAAGGACGCTCATTTTTTGCCTGTAGACTTGGAGACATACTTCAAGTCTCCGTGTACATCGTAGGGGTTAGGCAAAAGATGTGCGTCTAACTTTAAAAACTGTCGCATTAATGACCCTTCGCTCATTTTCAACTTCTATTCAATTTTCATACTGCCGTACTCTAACGGAACTATCGACTAGACTGATGCAAAATTTGAAATTTTTGCTCCACAGTGCTTAATCGGTTCCAAATTGGGTCTTGCTTAGCCTCCCAAAATTTGAACCACTTTAGTAAGAAACTGACTTGGCACAAACCATTTATAGTTTATATGGGAATTACTATGGGAAAACTTATGTTTTAGTTCATATCTATCAAACATTTCACCACATCACTATGCTTTTAAAAATGATAGCAGTGATTGTAGCAAATTTTCTCAGCTACAACTTTGCTAAAGACCACTTTTCAATCAAATGTAAGGAATAAAAGTTATTATTGATTCAACTCACTGATGTCTTATGTTTATGCTCATTCAACTGTTCAGCAGGCAACATTCGTGTTTCTGGTGCGAAGAATAGAGCACAAATATCATGGCTACTATTTCACACTGCAGAATACAGTGTTGCCTACAGAACAGCTGCTTAATCATGCCATAAGATTATCAATCTCTCAAACAATTAATAACAATTTAATTTGACATTTGGCTGAAAAACGATATTTCAAAAAGTTGTAGCTTAGAAAATTTCCCGTAAGAATAGTTTTAGAAATTTTCGAAAAAACAATATGGAAAATGGGTAGAAGACAATAAACAAAAAGTTTGGTTTTCCCATAGTAATTTCCATATAAACTTCGAATAGTTTGTGCCAAGTCAGTTTCTTACCAAATGAGTTTAAATTTTGAAAGGCTAATCAGCACCTGATTTGAAACCGTTTGAGCACTGTGGAGCAAAAATTTCAAATTTTGCATCAGTCTAATGCACAGTTTTTCACACCAACTGCTCATTTGTTAATAACTTTTCACTAAGTTGTTGAAATTTGATTTTCTTTAAAGTAATTGATAGATTAGGATCATAGCTTACTATAGATATGCAAAGAGTAGATGAATCTTAATATTTGAATCAACACCAATGAATTTTTACACTTAAAGTCCGAGATGTGCAGCGAGCATTTCTCACTTGATTTTTACAGTGCAAAAACAAATACAGTTTATTACTAGAATGAAAATCTGTTTTTTTTTTTTACCTATCTGTAACAAGCTTCAAATCTATTCTATCTACTGCTTCAAAAAGAACTATGTTTCTTCAACTGTGTGCAAAGTTAATAGCAAATGAGTTCGTGACCAAAACTGTGTATTAGACTGATGCAAAATTTGAAATTTTTGCTCCACAGCGCTTAAATTGGGTTCTGGTTCCAAATTGGGTCCTGCTTAGCCTCCCCAAATTTGAACTATTTTAGTAAGAAACTGACTTCGCACAAACCATTTCAAGTTTATATGGGAATTACTATGGGAAAACTTATGTTTTTGTTCACATGTATCTAACAATTCACCACATCACTATGCTTTTAAAAATGATAGCAGTGATTGTAGAAAATTTTCCCAGCTACAACTTTGTTGAAACCCACTTTTCAATCAAATGTAAGGAACAAAAGTTATTAATGATTCAAGTCACCGATGTCTTATGATTATGCTCATTCAACTGTTCAGCAGGCAACATTGGTGTTTCTGGTGAGAAGAATAGAGCACAAATATCATGGCTACTATGTCACACTGCAGAATACAGTGTTGCTAACAGAACAGCTGCTTGATCATGCCATAAGATTATCAATCTCTTAAACAATTAATAACTATTTAATTTGACATTTGGTTGAAAAACGATATTCGGCAAAGTTGTAGCTTAAAAAAATTCCCATAAGAATAATTATAGAACTTTTCGAAAAAGCAATATGGAAAATGGGTAGTAGACAATGAACAAAAAGTTTGGTTTTCACATAGTAATTTCCATATAAACTTCGAATAGTTTGTGCCAAGTCAGTTTCTTACCAAATGTGTTTAAATTTTGGGAGGCTAATCAGGACCTGATTTGAAACCGTTTGAGCACTGTGGAGCGAAAATTTCAAATTTTGCATCAGTCTACTGTGTATGCCAAGCTTGATCCAAACAGTCAGTTTTGCATTTCCCTGTTTGGATTACCCTAGACTGAGAAAGGCATATAAAAGAAATCTCCATACGCACCAGTCGATAAATCTAATAAATCACTTCGGCAGAAATTCCCTGAACATTGGTAGGACTTCCCTGAAGTTCGGCAAAACTTCCCTGAACTTCGACAGAACTTCTCTAAATTTTCGCAGAACTTCCCTGAACTTCGCAAGGACTTTCCTGAACTTCGGAAGGACTTTCAGCAGGGCTTCCCGGAACTTCATCAGGACTTCGCTGAAGTTCGGCAGGCCTTCCCTGAACTACTGCAAGATTTCCCTGAGCATTATTTGGATTTCCCTGAACTTGGAATCTTTGAAATGAAGTTGTCATTTCAGTAGTAGAATTATTATAATAATGCAACAATATTGTATTTACGAATACGGTCAAAATTTCGATACTTCTGATTTTTCTAATTTGCAATGCTTGTTGGTATTGGTGCATTTTGAATTTGGGTGTGGTTCGATCGGGTGTGGATTCAGTATAAACGGAAAAGCATTGACTTTCACCTTAACAACCTATTATTTGTAAGGTCCAGTTCCAAAAACCCATAATACATAAGGTTAAAGCTTTATCCCATATACGTTCATGTAAAGTTCATAGCCATTTCAGTTGCAGTTCAAGCGTGGATTATAAACAATTTTTAACTATTTTTGGGAAGGTAAAGTGATGGTTCGCGTTTATGCGACATCAAATTGTCCAACATTAGGCACTGTTCAACTTTATGGTGCTTGTACGGTATGGCGAAAAACATAAAAAAAAACTAATCTGATCAAATCGGATAAACTTTATTCCTACCCAAGAAAAAGAAGAGAGAGAAAAAAACAAAAACAGACACAAATATGAAACAGTAACATAGACAGAGCCAAGAGGAAGAATGGGGAGAATCCGGAGAAAGAAAGAAAAAAACGATGAAAGACAGAAGAAAACGGTAACATGACATGATTTCTTACGTAGATTTTTTTTGTTTGTTGTCTCTATTTCAAGAAGAAGAAAAAGTCGAGAAAAAGAAAAAGAAAAAAAAGGATGCCAGTGAAAAACAGTTGAAAACAAAACCCGAAGGCAAATGCTAAGTCAAGCGGAAATGCGAGAAAAAGAAACCCAGAAGAAGAAAGTTGATTCAATGTGTTATTATATATGAAAGAATGTATTTATTTTAATTTATATACACTGATGAAGAAAAAGAGAATAACTAATAAAAACCGGAAAAGGCCGCATAAAATGAAATAAAAAGTGAAAAAGTGAAAACCGACAAACCGCTTTTACCGCCGTGGGCTTTCTTTTCTGATAGTTCGATATTGAGAAAGTCTAGTCCGTTCGGGTGTTTTTTTGTTGTTGTTGTTGTTATGTTCTTGCTTTATGATGCTTTTCTGATTATAGCAAATTTTTATTCTTCGAAATCTACATGCTTATCAAGGGTGCTCATTGAAGTTTTTTTTGTTTGTTTTGTTTTCTTTTGTTTCAGTTATTCGATTATATGTATATAATTGCAACGAGATTTTTTTTTTCTTTGTTTTGTATTCATTTGGGTATTTGCTTTTCGGCCAAGTGTTTCACGTCACTCAAATGAACGTAGATTGATTGGACATCGGTTGCTTTTCGAATGGTAAAGATAATCATTCCCAAACTCGCTTCGCCTAGATTCACTGTCTTTGTTTTCGCGTGGGTGTTTGTGTCATTTTCGAAAGCTTCGTCTTCTAAAGCTGAGTTTCAAAAAAATAAATTACTCTACGCAATGTGAGCGTGACATCGATTACACTTGACTTTCATTTTTGTTTTGCTATTTTCTTCTGCCTACATTCAGTATAAAAGTAATAGTAAAAATCAACAGAAATTACTTCATTCGTACATATAAACGATCCACCAAGAGTGTATCATTCGTTTACGCCTCACACTAATTGGTATTGGTTAGTTTGCAGTTGTTGTTTATTAACTCTCAGTTTCCTTCCGTTTCGAATAATGAGATGTTGTGTTGTCTTATGTGTTGATGTTTTAGAACGTTTTCGTTTTTGTTTGTTTGTTTGTTGTTTATCATTACATCACTAGAGCAGTCCACTTTTTGGTAATTGGTTGTTCATATACTTATGCGCTTTTTGTTTGTTTGTTTGTTTACTTATAACTCTCACTAGTCTTTGACGATGGAATATTTTGTAGTTTCGTTTTACCCTCTTTCAATGTTTACACACTTTCTATCAACGTGTTTCGTTTGTTGTGTTTTTGTTGTTGCTTCTTCTATAGTTATTATGTTCTCTGTACTTGTTTGTTTTTACAAAAAAAAATGTTTGTTTTGTTTGAGTTGCTGAGTTTCTCGGTTTTGCTTTGCTTCGTTATGTGTAATTGTGGTTTGCTTCTTATCGTTACGTTTTCGTATGGGTAATTTTATTTGTTTTTATCCATTATCACAGATGTTATCATTTGCACGTGGTTGATTTGAGTTTTGTTACGCTTTCGTCGCTTTTCTTGGGTTTCGCACGCTGTGCAGAGGGTCGTGACTTTTTATCCTGTACTTTTTCGGTCCCTGAACGGGTGAACCTGGCAAGCATTTCATTACATGGGGGACTGGAGCACTCACATCTGACAGAGCTTATTCGAAGGATGTTGCGAGAAAAAAAAAACGTTCTTATTAACTAGATTCGGTGACCATCCTTATACTACGTTCAGACTATAACCCTTATGCTATGATCTTTTTTCGATGTAACATGTATTTCGAACGTGTTTTCCCCATACGATTTTGACAACCCGGTATACCATTCTTCTCTCTTGTTAAGTTCGGAATAAGCTTTAAAATGGTTATCAAGTAAGAAACTGATCAACAAGTCTTATTATCCTCCTGTTTCTGTGCTACTTGCCCCTGCCCAGCTAGGATTTGGTCAACCGTCCGAGAGTAGTATCTGAAGGAGGCTTCAGAAACCAGTTTCCTACCTAGATCCTTCCAATCGAAATTGTTACCCATTAACCTCGAGCCCGCCACGAGTAATTGGTACCCAATACTAACCTAGAAATACTGCTATTTAAAATGTAAATCAAACATTACTGATTTTGGCTCCGCAAAGTGTCACACACGACTGAGCCTAGTAAATAAACGAACTAGTTAAAAAAAAACAAGTCAAACAGTCGAATATGCTTTTGCTTATGCTCAGACTCGATGATTAGTGATTATAGGCTTTTTCAGTGCTCCACCAATTAGGTTTTGCACCGTCGGGGTTAACCTCAATCTGATGACAGTTTAGTGGTACTGTTTACGTGGACTTAGTCGTTTTTTTCTTGGGTAGATTTTCTCGATAATTTTTCAGACTGCAGTGAGATGTAAACCACACTTATGCATTGTCCACGAGTACCATCCTTTCACCGCGCTGTTCCTCGACAATTTTCAAGTTAAAATTCGGAAATTTTAGAATTTGTTTTTTCGAAAAAACGACTAAGTGCTTGTAAACAGTACCACTGAACTGTCAAAAAGGTTCAGCCTATTAACACTGAGCTGCAGAACCTAATGTAGGGTGCGCCAGACGAGCAGACGAGGTCAAGAGGAAACGTCAACCAAACCATTTGTTTACATCAGAATAAGGAATTTTCACAACGCAAATTGAAGCATTTTTCATTGAACATCTCGAAAATTTCCATCGATTTTCCATATGGTTTTGCAATTGGATGACAGTTCAGTGGCACTCTTTACGTGGTCGATTTTTTCTTGAGATGCAAACCACACTTCTGCAATGTCCGCTAGCAACATCATTTCAAATTAAAATTCATTTTTTTTTTAAATTATTGTTTTTGAAAAACAATCTATGTGCTTGTAAACAGTGGCACTGTTATGTCAAAAGGTTCATTCGATGAACACTGAGTTCATTCGTGGCATCATCCTGCAGAACCTAATTGATCTGGACTGATTTGAACCTCAATTAATCACACACACGAAATCCGGAAGATCATAAGAGCATCATTCTAATTTTCCATTTTTCTCAATAAAAATATTCCGGAACACCAGCAAGATCCTTCTAGAAACAATACAGAATTAAATTTTCTAACTGTAGATAATGTTTGGGGGCATCTCAGATGAATCAATTTATCAGGAAAAGTGAAAAAAATATTTCACTTCATATGTTTTACGACAAACATTTTCTGCTCACAACACTCTTTTTGACGTTCTTCTCTTTACCACCAGAGGTTAAATCGATCGCTTAGTTCCTATTAAATAGACGTATTGCAATGAATGAATTGTACTTTTTCATTGGTATGAATAAATTTGGCTTGCCTTTAAGATACACATGTTTTAGTATTTTACCATTTAATTTAAGGATAGAATTTATAAACAAATCTGTTTAAGGGACGTAAGCCTTGGTGTTGGTCCTGATCGTTGAATTTTGTTTTACAGCACCCGAGGAAAAAAGAAACAACATCCACAAGTACAATCAACATAAACAAAAACATTCGTAACCATAGCAACCGCTGAGTTGTCAATTTGTATCACCAACAGCATAGTGTGAACGATTATGTTATTGAGTTGTGACATGTGAATCTTACATGTCATCAAATTCTAGAACCATGTTTGCTATCCTTATTTCCAAGAACCATTAGTTTCAAGACCACACTCGTGGGACCTTGCTTCAAATATTTTCCCAAGCCAACGAACTGCATAAAGCGGTTCGATAATCGAAAACACATGTCATCGATTCCACTTTCTGTCCCATAAGGATCATATTCACATTTCACTGTTGCCAAGGACGCTCTAGTGATTTGTTACCAAGCAGCTATTAACGCCTTCTCCATTGGCGTTGACGAGAGCTCTGTAACTCTTTACTCCTATGGAGAAATCTCATATGTAACTGTCAGTCTATGTGTGAAACATGGCGGACTTTTTCTTATTCTCTCACACCAACGCAAAACCTTATAAGGAACTGTCAAAATGTGTGTGAAGAAACGTCACTTCGGGACTGGTGTCAAGGCGAATTGCATACGCCATTCTCTCAGTTTAACACTCTCAATTCGAATGACGATCACCGATTGGTGATCGCTTACATAATGCAGGAGTAAATAACTCGACTTCAGATGTCTCCCGTAGGTAATGTTGTATTTCAGTTAATTCAAATAAAGCATTAACGTTTAAACCGTCAACGAAAACGTTTCGTTCATTAAGGAGTATCACTCTCCCTGTTCTAGGCAAGTTACCCAATTGAAAGGACGTTACAGTGTTATCAACAATCAATACGAAACATACGATTTTAAATTGGCTCACTACTTGACTAGCCTATTGGTCCAAAGCAAATCGACTAACGTACCCCATTCTAGTATAAATTCCAGTACTACACTATGTTTGTTTTGATTCGCTATGAAAGTTTGACAGATAAAATGAGGGGTTAGTGAATTTCCCTATGTTTCGAGGGGTGAATCGATTAGCTTGGGACCGAAGAGAGTACCAGAGCTGAGCCAAAAAGTTGAGCTCGTTTATTCGGGACCTTCTGGTCTTAGAGTTACCTCTATGGTTGTATCACCTATTGTATAACATGTTACAACCACAGAGAACAGATGTCCAAGTTCGGTCAGAAACTTGTGTAAAGTTAAGTGGAAACTTCGCCGTTATGTAGCGCTAGCATCTCCTGATTTCCCCTGCAAATTTATCACTTTCGACCAATTTGGCGCTAGTATCGATAAATTATCTGTTGAAAACTGCCATTTGGCAATACCAGCACTTAGTGTCTAGTGTAAGTTTTGCAACGCCAGCGCCATCAGGTAGTCAAAGAGGGTTTTTAAGTGGGGAAGGCGCCGTTAGTGGCGCTTAAGTCTTATAGGAATCTTTACACAAGTTTTTAGATGAATTTTGTTTGAGCCTCAAGGTCTGTTCTCTGTGTTACAACTCCGTAGTCTGAACAAGGCATAAGCACAGAGAACAGACATGTAGGCTCGAACAAAATTTCTCTAAAAACTTGTGTAAAGATTCCTATTTGACTTGAGCGCCACTAACGGCGACTTCCCCACTTAAAAACCCTCTTTGACAACATGATGGCGCTGGCGTTGCATAAATTACACTAGACACTAAGTGCTAGTAGTGCCAAGTGGCAATTTTCAACAGAAAATTTATCGATACTAGCGCCAAATTGGTCGAAAGTGGAAAATTTATAGAGAAAATCAGGAGATGCTAACACCACGTAACGGCGACGTTCCCACTTATTTCATACAAATTTCTGACCGAGCTTGAACGTCTGTTCTCTGTGGCATAAGGCAAAATCCAGAGAGCTCCTGCAATTTTCCAGATATTGATAGAACATCCCTGAAAATCCTGCAATTTTCCTGAAGTTTATCGTTAATTTCTCTGGACTTCCTCGAGGATCTCTTGATTCCCCTGAAGTTCAAGACTACTTGTCTGAAACCCTCAGAACTTCTAAAAGTTCCCACAATTTTCCTGAAGTAAATGGAACTACTTTAAAGTTTTCGAACCTAACCGGATGCTCACGGAACTTTCCTTAAAATATTTACTACTACCATAGAGGGAACTCTAAGACCAGAAGGTCCCGAAGAAACGAGCTCAACTTTTTGGCTCAGCTCTAGTACTATCTTCGGTCCCAAGCAACCCGGGGACAACTTGACAACTCCAGTATATTGCCAGTGTACCCGACAATTTGGTGCTGGTGGTTCTGTCAAACTCACAAGTTTCACAAGGCTTATCTGAATAGGGCGAATGCGGAAATTATGTACAATAAATAAAATCCAAGCTTAAAATTCATCTCATTGTCGCGCGCCCACCAAACCGGAACGTGCGTCCAACGTCACCAAAGTCCAAAGTCACATTAATGACATAGGAAGTCCAGTGATGCCAGCGAAAAATGTGGTTTTGATTTTCAGTCGTATGCACAATTCATAATCAATTTTTTTAAACTTGTTTTTTTTTTGTAGTCTCGTGTGTCTTTGAGCAGAACAGAATCAAAAGTTTAAACATATGATTTGTAAAACAAAAATATGTGATTGTCATCGAATTAATTGAAACAAATGAGAATTGAGCGAGGATACTATCGGTGATTTCGACGCTATTGCTATTATTGTCGATGATGAACAAAAAAAAAGAATTGTTTTGAAGCGAGTATGAGTGTACTTATTACAGTACTAATCCGACACATTTGATAATCTGACTGTCAAGTCCATACAAATAAATGTTACCAATGTAAAAAAAGCTCCATAAGAGACCGTGATGTCGAATTAAGGAGAGCCGGAGTGGGGAGATACTGTATACGCAGCTAGTACTGCAAAATGTGCAATTTGATTTACTAGCTTAAAAGAGTACAGTGGAGAACTTTGCACGTCTTTTGAAGGCCTTAAATGCATTAAAGATAAATTTGTAATTTATCATGCAATTTGACTAATTTTCAATTTCAGCAGTTTGCTTTAATTACCATTAAGTAAACATTTTTTTGCGGGCACAGGACAAGCCATCATTGCACAGCTATGCTCAACGCAATAATCTGAAAGATAATCAAACTCAAGAGCAAAAAATAATTGAAGAAACCAAAGTATTATTATTGCCATTCGATGATATAAGAAGATGGTTCAATTTGTATTGATTTGTTTCATTTCACCACTAAAATCATAAATTAGCTCTTTTCATATGGCATTCTTGTCTGTTGTTTGACATCCACACAAAGTGAAACAAAAAGTTGGTTTTCCATAGAGGAATACCGTTGCGGCGGTGAAGGACAATCCCTTTGTTTACGTCGTGTGGCGACATCTACTATTTGCAAGTGGGTACGTGAAACTAAGGTTATCTGTCACCTTGCCGGGGACTTGGTCCTAAGCTAATCGATTCACCCCCCCCTCGAAACATAGGAAAATCCACTAACCCCTCATTTTATCTGTCAAACTTTCATAGCGAATCAAAACAAACAAAGTGTAGTACTGGAATTTATACTAGAATGGGGTACGTTAGTCGATTTGCTTGGGACCAATAGGCTAGTCAAGTGGTGAGCCAATTTAAAATCGTTAGTTTCGTATTGATTGTTGCTACTACTGCCCTGAAGCACAGAGAACAGACGTCCAACTTCGGTCAGAAACTTGTGTAAAGATAAGTGGGAATGTCGCCGTTACGTAGCGCTAGCATCTTCTGATTTCCTCTATAAATTTTCCACTTTCGACCAATTTGGCGCTGGTATCGATAAATTTTCTGTTGAAAATTGACACTTGGCGCTATTAGCACTTAGTGTCAAGTATAAATTGTGCAACGCCAGCGCCATCAGGTTTTTAAGTGGGGAAGTCGCCGTTAGTGGCGCATAATTCGAATAGGAATCTTTATACTAGTTTTTAGAGCCTCAACCACGGACAAACCGACATGAAACTTAAACTCAACTCTTGATCGAGAATCCATAACGGCCAACTCAAATGTGCAGCGATCCTATCTGTCAAAACCATAGAATTGTTTTATCTAGATAAAAATAATGTGTCCGAAATAGATTAGACACGAACCAACGGTGTCGGTGCCT